TAAATACTTTTTTTATCCTTTATGTTTTAAAAAAGGTTTTTCTTTAATTCTTATACTAAAAACTTTTTTCTAACCATGAAAGTTTAAAACATTTAACTTCCTTTCAATATTTTTCCGTTAAATTTTAATGAAACATATTAATTAAGAAAAAAAAAATTTTTTTACTTAAACTACATGAAATATTCATATGATAAAAATTAATAATATAATTAAATTTTTTATTAATATAACCTTAAAATCATTTAATTATATAATTATTAATATAAATATTATAAAGTTTATTATTCTCCCATTCCTATTCCTCGGCTGTTTTTTTTTTCGTTTTTTCTTTTCACCTTCGGGTTCGCGCGAACCCAGGCGCAGGGTTCGTCATGTAACCCAAGAGTTGGGTTCGTCTGGGTTCGTCTCAGAACCTAGGGGAGGGGTTTGCGACGAACTTGCGTCTGGTTCGAGATGAACCAAGCTCCTGGGTTCGTCTCGAACCCAGCTCTTGGGTTCCGCGACGAACCCCGCGCCTAGGTTCGTCTCGGAACCCAGGGGAGGGGTTTGCGATGAACTCGTGCCTGGTTCGAGACGAACCAAGCCCCTGGGTTTGTCTCAGAGCCCAGGCACTAGGTTCGCCGTGAACCCAGCTCCTGGGTTCGTCTCCAAACGAAAGTTGAGGGGATTTTCAGTTTAAGGGGAAAAAAAATGAGGAAGAATACGGTAAGTATTTTCGGTTTGTTTCTTTAATTGGATGAGGAATAAGATAGTTAAGTATTTTTGGTTTGTTTCTGTGATTGGATGATTATTTTTGATTTGTTTCTGTGATTGGATGAGGAAGAAGAAACAAATGTGCCTGGGGCTGGTTGGTTTGATGTTATAAATTGGTCGTTTATATAGTAGTTTTTTTGTAAATAAAAGGAAATGTGAGAATAAAATGGGGAGATCATGTCAATTTCATTAAACATTTAAGCGAGAAGCTCCCGCAGAAGTAAGAAATGGGAGCTTCTGAGCTTTGCAAACAAAAGGTGAGAAGCCGAGCTTCTCAAAAACTGCAGCCACTTTATAAAGCTGATTCGTTTGGTGCAGTTTATGCTTTTAGAACCAAAAAGCTTTTCCCACAATCTGCACCAAACAGGCTCTAAAAAGAAATGAGGGGAAGATGCTTTTTTTTTTTTTATTTTAAATTTTTTTGATTTAGAGGAATCGTCATTGGTTCACTTACTCTTTAAATTTTTTTAAAAATAAATAAATATAAACATTTTATTTTAAT